GAAAGGGCTGTCAGGCTCTGGAAGGGGCTGCCCAGGGAGGGGGTCGAGTCCCCACCCCTGGAGGTATTTAAAAGAAGGATGGATGAGGTGCTGAGGGACAGGGTTTAGTGGTGGGATGGCAGGGTTGGGTTAAAGGTTGGACTCTATGATCTCAAAGGTCTTTTCCAACCAAAGTGATTCTATGATTCTATGTTTGTGCCTCCCTCTCGCGGGTTCGGCAGCTACAACCTGGCCGCATCCCCACCATCCCGTGCGCAGGAACGGAGAATTAACACACGCTCACGCTGGGGTTAAAACAAAGCCTGCTATTAATCAGACTGTTATTAATAGAGTTGTATCAGCTGAGCGTGCACAAGTCCACGGGCCTGAGGGGATTCGTCCCAGAGCTGTGAAGGAGCTGGGGATGTTGGGGAAGGACCCCCCGCCCCTTCCTCGATCATCTGCCGAAGGTGCTGGGAGCCTGGGGAGGTCTGGAAGCGAGCCAGCGTTATCCTAACCTACACAAAGGGCACGAGGGAAGACCCAAGGAATGACCGACCTGTGAGTCGGAACCTCAGTTCCCAGAAAAATTAGGGAGAAGATCATACCGGGTGCTGTTGAAAGGCATTTAGAGGACAACGCAACCAACAGGCAGAGTCAAGATGGGCTCACCGAGGGAAAGGCCTGTTTAGCCAATTGGATACCCTTCTACGATAAGGTCACCCGCCCAGCGGATGAAGGGACGGCGGTGGATGTAGTTGTTCTGGATTTTAGGAAGGCTTTTGATCCTGTCCCTCACAGCATCCTTCTGGACAAGCTGTCCAGCTGCGGGATGAGCGGGTGCACAGCGCGCTGGGTGAAGCACTGGCGGAACAACGGGGCTCAAAGGGCTGCAGGGAACGGGGCTGGTGGCCGGTCACCGGCGGCGTTCCTCGGGGCTCAGTCCTAGGGCCAGCTCTGTTCAATACATCTGTCAATGATTTGATGCAGGAGTTGAACGCATGCTTAGCAAGTTTGCTGATGGTACTAAACTGGGAGGTGCTGTTGATGCTCCTGAGGGAAAGGAGGCCTTGCAGAGGGATCTGGATAGATGGGAGCATTAGGCAGGGATTAATGGGATGAAATTTAACAAGTCGAAATGCCAGATTCTGCACCTGGGAGGGAGTAACGCCAGGCACAAGTATAAACTGGGAGAGGAGTGGCTGGCGAGCAGCCCTGCGGAACGGGATCTGGGGGTGCTGGTGGGGAGCAGGATCGAAAGGAGCCAGCAGAGTGCCCTGGCAGCCAGGAGGGCAACCCACACCCAAACACAGCATAACCAGCCCATCAAGAGAGGGAATTGTCCCCCTGTATTCAGCATCAGTGCAGCCTCGCCTGGAGCACTGTGTTAAGAAGGATGTCAAGGACCTTGACTGCATCCAGAGGAGGGCAACAGAGCTGGTGACGGGGCTGGAAGAGGACGGGAATGTCCTGTGAGGAGCAGCTGAGGACTTGGGCTTGTCTAGTTTGGAGAGAAGGAGGCTGACGGGCAACCTCATCGCTCTCTGCAGCTTCCCAAGGAGGGGACGTGGAGAGGGAGGCGCGGAGCTCTGCTCCCTGGGATCCAGGAGCCCTGGGAATGGTTCAAAGCTGCACCAGGGGAGGCTTAGACTGGACATTAGGAAGCATTTCTTTACTGAGAGGGTGGTCAAACCCTGGAACAGGCTTCCTAGAGGGGTGGTCGATGCCCCAAGCCTGCCAGTGGTTAAGAGGCGTTTGGACAATGCCCTTAACAACACGCTTTAAAATTTGGTCAGCCCTGAAGCGCTCAGGTAGTTGGGCTGGATGAGCCTTGTAGGTCCCTTCCACCTGAAATAATCTACTCTATTCTATTCAGTTATAAAATATGAGGAAAATAGCACCTATTGAGCCAGCTCTAGCAGGCAACGTCAAGCACCGATATTTTTAATCTTAGCATTAGTGGTGGAGCTGTAAACAGAACATACAGAAAGCCCGAATCCTGTGCTCTAATGCTGTAAATAACAGCCCCCACGTCGCACTGAAAAGGTCTAGGTAAGAATATCATGTCCGCTGAAAGGTGTAAATCCTGGGTGGTTTTGGCCACTTCAGTCATCACGATGAACTGCTGTTTTATTTGTCAGTCAGTGAACCTATTTAACAGATTTTCTTTTCTAAGATCATGTGTCATCCTAATTTCCTGGCCTCTTAAGCATTTGCATTTTGTTCACAACAGCGGAGAGGTTTAGGACAGAAATGAGAAAAACCCCGTCAGTTTGCAATTTACCTTCATCATCTAAAGCTTCGTTAAACTCATTCAAGTCCAACGCCGCCACCTGAGGCATCTGCGCGAGTTTCTCTAAAAAATAAATACACCCAAGCAGACATCACGATGTTAAACTTCCCATGACTTACAACGAGCAAAGTAACTTCAAAATGACATTGCGGTACCAGAACTACCTAGTGCGGGCGCAGGATTAGTCGCTGCCTGGGGCTGAGTCTCGACTGTCTTCACAGGCTCTGCAGCTCTGTCCCCTTCCGTAACGTTCTTCGGGTCTGACAGCGTCGTTTCCCCAACTTCCATTTCGGCTTCTGCTGAGACCTGAAGGTCTTCATCTATCGGTTTTGCTGGTAGGCAACGGCAGAAAAAAGCATCCTGCATTTCACCGTGTTCAACTGATTGATTTGCAAAAGATTTGCCACTTTTCTGCCAGATATTCAGAGCCCTCCTATCACAAATTCCCGCTCCTCGTTACAAACGGGCAGAAAACGTACGCACAGGAAAAGCTTTGCAAAACAAGCGTAGGGCTGTGGTTCCATGAAAGGGTCTGCTTCCCCACACCCCTCTCCCTTCCTGGGTGCTTTGCTATTCTAGATCTACCAACAGCACTAATTATCACTGCATTAGCCAAGGCTCAAGGAGCCAGCAGGGTGCTTGCCTATCTAACAACCTGCTATGCTGGCAAGCCCAGTAAAAGGTGGGAAAATCTCGGACTGCCTTAAATATCTGTTCTGGAAAGGGGGAAGTAGGGACAGAAAAGCACCTGCCTGTGTTTTCCAAATAGAAAGCAGAAGTTCTCCTTTGTCTTACCGGCAGCGTTTGAGGTTTTCTTGATTTTACAATCTCCTGTCATTGCCGATTTCTTAGTCCTTTCTTTTTTACCTACGTGAGATACCCAAAACCAAGTCAGTCAGTAGAAATATTTCTTAAATCTTACATTTGTGAAGTAAGAGTATAAAAGTACATACAAAAATAGTTTAATCTAAAAAAAAAAAAAAAAACCCCAAAACCCTAAACCATAAGGCAATTCCAACAACCATGAAATGAACAACCATGAATGAAAGCCATGAAGTTGAGTATCTCAAGTGAATTGGTTTAGAACTCTGGTGACAAAACCTTGCTCCTGCAAAAAAGTTTGTGCTCTCTTTCTCTGAAATGACTGTAACCACGGTTTCCATCCACAAGACAGCCCTGGAACACACCGTCACGCGAGTCTTACTTCCATTCTGGAAGCTGGATCTGAAGTGACCATGCTGACAAATGAATCAAGACCAACGCATCCTTAAAAAGCACAATTTCCCATCAAAATGACGTCCAGCCCCTAACTGTGCTCAGAAAAATTGCTCATGAAAGCCAATAAAGCAAGCAACAGTATCGGTATACAGCTGTTCTTTCCAGTGTCTTAATAATACCCATTTTGTGTAAAGTTTCATTGGCTTTTGATCCATTTACTGCCGTTTGTCTTGTTTTCATTGCAGCACTAACAAAAATAAAAGATCCCCACTGACAGAACACCCAAGTTTTTCTGCCAGACCAAGTAAACATAATTGAAATAATTTCTGTCAGGATCAATCGAAGACCAGGGCAGCGATTTCAAAGCATTTGGGACACACAAGGGACGTAAGGCACTGGGAAGCACTAAGTGTGAAGGAGAATGTTAAACACATTCTCCATTAGGCCTAAAGTCAACTTGGAAAAACTACATTTATTTTGTGGAGCCCAGAGTGCCACACTCTGCTTCAACAGGTGGGGCAAACATTTAAAATTACAGAGTACAAGCATGGGTCGAGGGGCGGGGGGGAGGCGGGGGGGTGTTTATTGCTACTTGAGGGTTGGGTTTGGGTTTTTTTTTTTTTCAAGGAAGTCAGGGTTGTGTGAAAAGGAAGACATTTGCAAGTATAAACTGGACGTTTTCTTGTAGCTCTCTGAACTTGCTTTCAGTCTCTGCTATGAAAAGCACCTAAAAAGAAAGAAATGGGAACAAAGAGGGAAGGCAGTAACAGAGGAACCATCAGATAACAGGTAACCAAAACCTCACCTGTAATGGATTTAGTTGTCTTAGTGGCGGTGTTCTGATCTTTTCTATTATGAGAAACAAAAAATAAAGAAAAATCAGTTTTAAAGACAATAAATGAACATCAAAACAGCTAAAAAAAGTTCAAAAACAGTGAAGCGCAAGAAACCAAGGAGACAGGAACCCATTCCATTCCCAATCACTGCAGCTAATGCTAACGCACGTAATGGCAACACTTACTTTGTACTTGGTGCAACTTTTTTAATATTCTGAGCCCGCTTTTTTATATTCGCTTTGGCCTGGAACGGACAGAAAGAGAAGCTTTTACTACAACATTTATATTTTATTTATAAATGTGTATCTATGCATCTAGAAACAGCATCTATCATTATTAATAGCAATTAAGCATATATATTAATATAGGTTGTATCTTCACTGTTTGTTAAACTGATACTGTTCACAAATATCAGATTTACCCAAGAAAAAATGGAAACTGGCATTAGGAAGTGCCTTTGCATTTTGATTTTCGACTGCTGTTTGTGACAAGGAAATGAAAAAAAACATGAAAACGACAAAGCCTATTGCTCCGGAGAACACTGAGGTCTGGAGCACAATACCAAGCTCCACACAACGCACGGCGCTGCTCCCCACCAGCCTGCTTACCTGGCCAGCAGATGCTTTTGGCTTTTCTGCTACGCTTATTTTCACCCGTTTCCCATTTACCAGCACTGGCACGGTTTCGCCGTATTTCACAGCTGCTATCACGGCTTCTTTGTAGTTCATTTCCAGGAAGGCCTAAAATAAACGGCGCTTTCAGCCTTCCTTGATATTACAGAGACAAGATACAATTCGCTGAGATTCTTCCTTAGCAAATCTGCTCACGGCAGAACCGCGTGTACGCCTCTCCCTACGCTCAGGCAGAGTTTGATGAAAAAGCCTGGATTTCAGTATCACACAGAAAGCGTCCCAGCTCCTCTGATGTTCAAGACTCAGGCAGCAAGCAAGACTGAGTTTATGAAGTTCAGATTCCCACCTGTTCCACGATTACCTATGTGATCTTTAACTGTTCAGGAAGCCTTACCCCACGTTCAGCTGAGGATCCAAATATCGCACTTGTTCATCGCTTGACAGCTCCTTTTGCATTCCGACACAAAAACTTTCTACAGGAAAACTTACCTCATTTCGAGAGCGAAGGACAATGAGATCGCTAACTTTGCCAAAGGGCCGAACAATTTTTTTAATATCTTGATCTGAAAAGCCGTCATCTGGTAAATCAGATATCTGCAGGACTGTCCCACAACTCAGCAATTCCTCTCTCAGCAGCTACAGATTGGAAACAAACCAACAATAAACACTTTCCAAGGCAAGTTCAGTAAAAGGAAGATGAAAGAATCCATACTAAAAATTACTTCGACATAGACTGCTTTAGTTCACGGCAGTATTTTGAGGGTTTTTTTGCTTTTTAAGCCGAGGACAGAGCCACACTTCTGTTGTTCTGCTCCTCTGTCTCAACACGCAGTTATTAGGACGCGGCAGAGGATTCCCAAGCAGCGCAATGCAACCTTTTTGTTTTTATCAAGTGCTACAGGCCCACACGATTCCAGTTGTCTGGGCTGTAGGGGTAAGGAGCTGCACTTTCCCAGTGCTTTCCTTTCAATACCTTCCGGTTTTCCTTTCCCTTCCAATCCTGCTGCCTTCCTGTCAATAGTACCAGCTTTCAGCAGCACTGGGGAATGTTCTCTTTGCTGGGAACTACCAAGGGCGACTGCGTCTGCCACAGCCATCCAACAGTAACCCAATACAAACCTGGTTTACAGGCAGTGTTTCCAACACTGGAACACTGACAGTGTTTCTAACACCGGCTTAAGATCCTCCTTCTTACAACCGGAGTAGGAAATTTCTCTGCCTCGCCTTTTCTGCCTGACAGGGCAAAACAAACACTCTCTGCCTCCCCCCCGTTACTTTTATTTACACAATAAGCTCCTCCAAACAGAGCTCATCGCTCTCAGCTCATACAAACAAGTGCCCAGTAGAACGGGGACCCAAATTTGACGGACGTTTCTTTCTGCTGTCGGAAAGCGCTAGGGAGGTTGTGCTTCACATCTGTTAAAAAATCCTCGCTGCGTACGTCACCACGCTTGCGTGCGGCCAGCAAGTCGCTGCTCGGTGGCAGCACCCATCGCACAGGATCAGCAAACAGAACGGTTAACCTCTGCACAAGCGACCCCCTGAAACACGAACCGCGTTCTGAAAACCCCAGAGAAAGCCATTCAGAAACTCACCCTGTTGTAAGGGGTAGGACGAGGTCCACTGGTTCCTGTGGATAAGTCTTCCTCATCCTCTTCCATTTCTTTGCTGTGGGGCAAATCATCAGTTTCAGGAGATGAAGAACTCGACCCAGGCAAAGAGGGCAGGTCTTTCTTCGAAGCCTTTGGAGAAACGCTTGCTTTCAGCGGCTTCTTCGTATTTCCAGGCATCTTCCCCAAGGGTCCATGAGAGGGTGGTGATTTTCCCGATCCTGAAGATCCTTGCCCAGCTGCTTGAAGTGACTTATGTTTATTGAACTCTGCTACAAAGCCAGGTCCCAAACTTTTCACTACCGCCTCCAGAGCTGCTTTTCTGTCTGTGAGCGGAAGGGAAAACAAACCGGGTTCCTTCGTTCGTTTGTTTGTTTTCAAAAGAAATCTTACACACCTTGCTGCTTGGTTTTCTACAGCTGCAGTTTCACCACCTACTCCTGACTCCATCTCCAGACTCGCTGAAGCTAGAGAGACTCTTAATCACACTCCAGCAGAGGTGGCCTATAAATTATAATAAACCTCTGTACTGTCTTCACTGTGCCGTCCTGCCACTCGACATTTTTAGTTAGACTGCCAGCGTGCCCCTGGCAATGACCTCTACGAAAACCCTAAGGGCTGGAGCAAAAAAATGACTATTTGATTTTACATCTCGGGGAACGCAAGAAGAGAAAAGAAGTTTTCAGGACTCGTCTCTTCCTCTCACAGGCCGATGCACAGCAGTGCTTGCTGCCTGCATGCCTTCTGCTGAATTCCGCCCCCTCCTCTGCTTGCTCTTTGTCCTACAGGCTGATGCTTGACATTATTCTTTAACGATCCCATACAACGTTAATTCCCTGTATGCTTTCTTTCCGTGGAGAATTTGTACTTTGGTTATTAATTGCCTCTTCCCCTCATTCTTCCACGTTAAAATCACTTGCATTTTACCCTTAAGAAGATCTCTTTGGAGCTGCCCGTGCCTTCACAACTTTTCACCCAGGCTTCCTTCCCACAAGAGCTCAGTACCTCTTAATTTTCTGAAAGCATACGAACAGCATAGCCACAGGATACAGATCAAAGGAAAAAAATCAACCTCTCAGAATCCCTCTTTTTTTTTTTCTTTTCTCTTCAGAATTTCAAAACAACTCCCAACAAACTGCCCTTTCAGCCAGAGTGAGCAAAACTGAACTACACGGAACTGACGGAGTTTATATGAATATATTTTATTTCCCAGAACTGCCAACTGGAGGAAGTAAGCTGAAGGAGAGTCACCGAACGGTGCAACGAACTGAACTGCTGCAGAGCATCTCTCCTTGAAAGCCTTCCACGTACCACGCTCTTATCCCAACAACGTTATTTCAGAGCCCGATGCTTTCTTTGCAAGTTGCACCTCCACTCAGCACACTTCCTGAGCACCGCATCTGCTCTCTCCTCATACTGAAAAACCACTTCTTTTGACGCTGAAGGAAGAACCTTCAGTTGTTTTCAATTCGTGCCTACCCTTACTGAGCACCCTCGGAACAGAGGCTTGGTCAGCAGCTGATACGATTAACCAATTCCTGGCACTTGTCGAGGAGGACTACTAAAATGCTCCGAGGGCTGGAGCCCCTCTGCTCTGGGGCCAGGCTGGGAGAGTTGGGGGTGTTCAGCCTGGAGAAGAGAAGGCTGCGGGCAGAGCTGAGTGCGGCCGGTCAGGGCTTCAAGGGGGCCCAGAGGAAAGGGGGGGACAAGCTTTTTAGTAGGGCCAGCTGGGAGGCCCCATCCCTGGGAACATTCCAGGCCAGGTTGGCCGGGGCTGTGAGCAACCTGATGTGGTTCAAGGTGTCCCTGCTCCTGCAGGGGGGTTGGGCTGGGTGACCTCTGGGGGTCCCTTCCCACCCAAACCATTCTGTGATTCTAGGTAAGGAAGACTTCAGACCTGTTAGAATACCCGTACTTTTCACAAAGCAACAGCAAAAGGAAAACTTTTTAAAAACAGAATTTTGCTATGAAAAACACCTAGGTGACACCTGGACAGATAAACCTCTTCAAACCAACTCAGTTTTCCTGCAGTTAAAGGAAGTTTCAATCTGGCAGCATGTATCTGCCCTTTACCTTGCGATCGAGTTGACCTCCTCGATGACCAATCATTACTGGAAGATCTCTGAGGCCGAGGACTAGTTCTCAGTGGATTCCTCGATCGCTGCGGTGACCTTGACCTGTGTCTGGGGCTCCGGCGTCGCATCTGCCGCGGGCTCCGACTTCTCGGCCTTGTTGGCCTGAAGCGGCCAGGGCTCCTGGATCTCGATCGCGATCGGCGAAGAACATAGCCGGAG